TTCCTGAAAACAATAATGCAGGATTTATCTAAGTTAACTTCTAGACCCCATTTGATACAAAATGATTTTAATGTATCCAGCTTTTTGTAAACCTATTACTGTGTCATCAATGAAAGTGACGTCATCTGCGAATAACAATAAAAGTATATCATTCATACCACCATTTTTCACAAATATTCCACGTAGGCCACGTGCATTCATTTCATCTACTAATTCGTTGATAAAGAAAATGAACAGAACAGGACTGAGAATACATCCTTGTCGTAGTCAGATGTTGTCGAGAATACTTCTGTTCGTACACTAGATATTTTCACACGAGCAGATACCTTATCATACATATTTTTTGAGGATTCTGCATTATTTTTCCCATGCATACCTTTACGGAGATAAGAGCATATAAAAGCTTGTTTCTGTCTATATAATCAAATGCCTTCCGAAAGTCAATAAAAGCTGCGTAAAACCGATGTTTACGTTTTCTTAAATACTTTTGGCATAGAGCTTGCAGAACGAACATATTATCAGCTGATGAGTAATCGGGCCTAAACCCTGCTTGACATTCATGTAGTATATCGTTTTAAATCTAACCAGATACGGATTCTGACTTCGAGGATAGAAGTGAATATTTTCCCATTACATCTAAATCAAAGAGATTCCACCGATAGTTATTTGGTTCAGTGAGTGCTTCCTTTTTATAGAATTGGAATGATCAAGCCAACATTCCAGATATCAGGGGAAAATGCCGCTAACCAGTATAGCATTAAACAATATTTCTAGGTAGGAATTATGCATTGAGAATGTTTGAAGAATTCGGTGGTGTTTCCATCAATACCTGGGGATTTACCAGATTTTAACACTTTGATTGCATTTCTATTTCTGTTCTGGTAATTGGTGCAGATAAAAAGTCAGTATTGTTAAGCAGTCCGCACAGTAATCATGCTGTAGTCAAAAATGCGTCAACATTCTCATTGAACTCCATATTTGTTTCCGACACGTCGGGTTTAACAAATTCTTAAAATATCATCACCACTTATCTGCCGTAATTGTGTTATTTTCATTACAATTACTCAGTAGAGATTTTATCTTATGCCAGAACTTCTTACAGTCACCACTTTTAGCTGCACTCTGAATCTCATCAGCAATACCACCGTTAAACATTCTACTTTTATTTCTGCACAACAATGAGGCGAAAGTGTCTCTTTGCTTCAATGTATCTGTTTAGATTTTCATTTGATCTGCATTTGCGGAACATATTAAGCCAGTAGAACTTATATCTTTTGAACTTTCGCATTCTTCATCAAACCAATTAGGTTGAATATTCTTTGATTTCGGGATCTGAACATCACGACATTGAAAGTGACTTCCACAAAGTGGAGAAACTCAACAAGTTTCTCGGTGGCACCATTGATATCAGAATAGACTAGATCAAGAAACTCATCTAATATACAACTCGCTGTACTAGACGCTACAGACTCATTGAACTTGTCTAAAACCACCATTATTCCACCTGAACTTTGCGAGTTTTCACACTCTACATGACGAACACTGGTTAATAGCGAGTTATCACCACAATCCTCGACGGATACCTCTACAATGCACGATAGAGGCAGGTGGTCAGAGTCTGACCGCGAGTGGACAAACATATCCCTAATCAAGTAAAAACAGCTGGTCGACGCCAATATAAAATCAACAACATGAGTATTTAAAAGGAATCCAGATCTGCTGAAATCAGTTAGATTGTGTGCATTAAAGGGAAAATAATAACTTCCGAGGGAGATTTACGACAAGAAACTATTTTCACCAAGAGTCAAATTGTCACGTATCTGTTACTCCCACGTCACGTATCTGGTTCACTATAAAACGAACATATATAAACAGGCAATCCTTTAACCTTTAAACAAACATGTAGGAGATCAACGATTATACAACTAAACCAAAACCAGTGAACCCTTACGGATACAACAGCAGATGAAATCAGTAACGTATCTGTTCACAAAGTGGTCTTGGCATTTGTGACAGACTGAACAAGATCTGCTGCCATTCTGTAATACATTCTGGATCGTCCAAGGGACGTTACTTCAACTGGCATGCACACCAGATGGCATCACGATGGTCTGGCCATTGCAGTCAGATTTTACCTTGAACAATTTATTTTGCCATAAAGGATACAGAGGCATCTGCATCCTCCATATCAACCTCAAGCACTTGTCCTGGAAACCAATCACCATCATACTTCACAGCTAGCATACATTTGGGCGGTGTTAGACATGTATAGATGTAGACTCAGTATCTATTGGCAGAACCCCAGGTGTGTCTGATAATGTGGATTGTTGTAGGTCTGTAGTAGCTGCAGTGTCTGGTACAGTTACGTTGGTTGTTACTGGTGTCAGCTCATGGGCACTCCAGCCGTCACATGGTTGATTCCAGTTCAGACAGTTGTCACAGTAACAAGATGTCTCTCGAACAGATGTCTCTCGAACATAGATAACCCTGTCTCCAGAAGACTGTACATCATGAATCTTCATGGTTCCAGGGACTGTCTTAGATTTCAGTGAGGCAAGATAGGCTGCTGCAGTATCATACTCATCTTGGGAGTAGAAAATATATCGGATTGATTTCTCATTCTCATCTGCCCATTTGTAATGATTACGGGCATCCTGAATTGTACCTATGCCTTGTTTGATAGCAATTGCTGCCATACGTTTAGATGTCCCCTCTATCTCATCGCATGGACCTTTACCATGTCCACACCAAAAATAATTTTATCTGGCTCGGATGTTGTCAAAATATTCTGTGTGGTTTGCCTGTTTCTGTACTGGGAAGATGGACTATCAGTTCAGTAATGGATATCCGTGAGCTTTGGATAGAGATTTTTCAGTTCAGGTATCAGCTTCTGCAAGATGGTGTACACAGCATTAGCATTATGATAGCTGACATCTGACACAGACCAAATTCTTATGAATTAGGTCTTCTGTCCAAATGTCACTCTTGATGCCATATAGCTGGAATATTGCTGAGTGCGGCGTAAACCTAAACTCAATAAACTTCAATAAACTATGTCACTCCTGAAGTAGACAACAACTGGGTGTAATGAAGCTGCTGTAGCATTCCAGTATGCGGACTGAATTTCATCCATGGTCTAGCATATAAAGTCCGCAAAGTCCATCTGTATCACGGCATGTCCTTGGGGCAAATTCATTTTCAGATCATGGAGCGCTTTGTATTGTGCAGCTACTCTAAAAAGAGGTGATACTGATGGGGTTGATACTAATAACGTAAATGCTGCAGTACTGTAGGAGCTGTAGTGTCTGGTTCAGTTACGTTGGTTATCATCAGATTACTTCTTGCGTTCGCGATAGGCTTTTTTAATTTCGACCCCTGTTTTGCACATGACTGTCTGAACTTGAAATTAAAAACACTTTTAGACTTTAGGAATCGTTGATGGTTATCTAAACTAGAATTTCATGCTTTACCATCTAATAAAGTTAGTGAAATCTGAAAGAATGTGCCGTTGAAAATGTGCAACAGATACGTTACTATGAAAGACTTCAGTAAATCATCAATGCATGTTTATACAGTAAGCTAATTATAATCGCAATTGATAAATAAATAGTTAACATAACAAAACCCAACATAGCAGGTTTTTACAACGTTTAGACTGGTGGTGATACAAGATTGCATGGATAATAAATACATTACTTTCAGATTGGTGACTTTCCTTCTCATGCGTCCTTCCTAGGAACCAGAAATGCTTGTGTGATACAATCATCGTTAATTATCACGTCAAACTTGAGTTCTTAACGCGGAAAATTCAAATTTTGACACTGTGGTAACGTATTGGTAACGTATCTGTTGGACATAAAATGTATTTAGATGTGTTGGACAAACAGTTAAAGCCAGAAAAGGGCCATAACCCCCAGACTACTCACCAAACTCCATGCACGATGGTCATGTATGAGAGTCGGTGAGTGTAAGACGGTTCATTCCAAAATGGGAGGCAACTTATGTAACGTATCTGTTGATATTTTCGCGTACTTGTTACAGTTGAGAGTACTCTCTCAAAAAACATTATATTTTTAAAGCATGCGTCTTTTAACTGATTGTTAAATATTGTTTTATATTCATTTGCGGTTGAGATGACATTATAATTTTTGTTATATACCTTCAATTTTGATTTCATAATGATTTTAGGTAACGTATCTGTCAATTATTTTGGAGACACCTACCTCTGCGCCTGGCTTGAAAAACACTGACATACTAAAGTATTGGAATCGTATTAAATATATTCTCATGTTATAGAGACATTAGGATCTAATGTTTAGAAAATTTGTTCACTATTTCGAATATGACATATATAATTGTTACTGCTCTGTTGGCTAGCGACATGCATATTTATGTAAAACTGGCACATTTATGAGCCTGAAAGTAAATAAAATCAGTTTCTATAACTTCTGTTAAACATGTTCTTAAACATTTTATAACTATCCCAAAGCAACGCCATTATGTGTTAAATGCACGTTTAGTGGAGAATGAACCAAAAAATGGGGAACTATCGACTATAGATTAAAGGGACGCAACTCTGCACAGAATTGATTCTCCTCGGAAAACTAGGACAAAGTGTCTTCTCACTCCTCACCAAGAAATGGTGGAATACGTTCAGCAGATAATGTTATAGATTGTGAAACCTACAAAGATAATTTCGTTCTATGACAGCTGCGGTGGCAACATCCTGCTGAATGTTGGTCCCACCCCAGACGGAATGATCAGCCCGATCTATGAGGAGAGGTTGCGTCAGATGGGACAATGGCTGAACGTTAACGGGGACGCCATTTATGAGACTCGACCCTGGACTTTCCAGAATGACACAGCGACACCTGGCGTCTGGTACGTATGTTACATACAAGTATTTCAATGGGTGTGTTGATGAAACGGTTATCATTTTAACTGATGGCTGCGAAGTACTGAAGAGTTAAATCTGTTTTATCACCTCTATACTTTCGTAGGTACACATCCAAGAAGTCTGCCACCGGTATTTCCGTGTACGCCATCGCTCTCAGCTGGCCAAAGGGAGGTAAACTGGAGCTAGCTGTCCCACAAGCGGGTACTGCCACCACAGTGACGTTGCTAGGATACCCAGGACACTTTGATTTCCAAGCTGGCGCCACATCAGGAATGACAATCACAGTTCCAGCAATTCCAGCCGATCGTATGCCTTGTCAGTGGGCCTGGGTCTTCAGACTTGATAATCTCAAAAACCAGTAAAGTTTTAGAAAGTACAGTTTTGTACTCTTCTTCAACCAGCGTACTTTTATGTCAAGGTCATTTCCTTTGTTCTATATTTGCCTTATGCTTTCCCAGGCCTTAGGGATGCTTTCCCATGTCTCACCCCATATACAACGTTGCCGCAGTTTTGGCCACGCTGAAAATGTACGAAGCCCGATGTGATATTGCAGGAATATTGCTAAAAGCTGCATAAAACAATACCCGCTCATTTCGTGTTGCCTTTTCACTGCATGGGTCGCTCGGCTACCCAATTGTCATCATTATTACATATCTCGATATATTTGAATAATATTTAATAATTTAAAAAACACATAATACAACCCCTTACATCCTTCACTCATTTGATTAACACTTGCTCATCCCTTTTGCCTGTTGTCAATGGTTTTGTACTCCTGTTTTAGAATTAAACTGCTCTTGAAACATTGTCGTCTTCTCGTTTTATCTGATATTGGTTACATTTTGGTTTTATAAAAAGGCCAAAGGAGATCCTTTGTGCATTGATAACTGCAGCACCTTCTAGAACTTAGAGTACACAAGTGTTGCTTTGGTATCGGTAGAACACGGATTCACAAGCCCTACCGTAATCTGTGTGCGATTAGCACGCTCGTGTTTGTTAACTCTCTCACATTATTTTATGTTCACTAGCCTCTCGTAGTTACGCATGGAACGGCTTAACATATCAATTTTTATTTGTTTTCTATATTTCTTGTGCCAAATGTTAAAGTGAGACTTTTGTACACTCACTGTCTATTAATTAGCGCAGGACGAACTGATTCTAAGCAGAGGATATAAAAACAACACATCTGATTAGTGTGTACACATTTAAACTGACTGACTGATTTTGGTTTTACGCCGCTTTTAGCACTATTCCAGCAACATCACGGCGGGGGACACCAGAAATGGGCTTCACACATTGTACCCATGTGGGGATTCGAACCCGGGTCTTCGGCGTGACGAGCCAACGCTTTAACCATTAGGCTACCCCACCGCCCCTGTACACATATAAAGAATACGTAGGTTAATACATCGGTTCACGAATTCAGTCTTGGTGATGATAGTAAAATTTCATTCTGAATAATGTGTGTATAAATAAAAGAATCTTGAGGTTAATAAGTCGGTTCAGGAATTCAGTCTTGGTGAAAGTAGTAAGATCACAATGTCATTCTCCCCCGGGGCCTCATTTCCCAGAGCACTAAGGTCATCGTAAGTCACTAGGGTAACCTTAGTGCAATGTTAAAGGTCACATGCAACGTAAAACACAACTTTGCAGATTCTGATACCTTTTGGTATGGAAATTCAACTTATAAAGTTGAAAAATAACGCGATAAAAAAACCGCGCGAAATCGGAGTTCAAACGTTTCACTAAACTGGTTTCAACAGCTGAGCTGCGCTCATAGCACGTGCGCAGTGAAATAGGTTCGCGCAGCTTGGAAGCGGGTTGTCCGGTGAATACTCGGTGAAGGCTTTGGTGTGAGCTATTTTTCTAATGTTTTGTTGATATCTCACAGGCGCGAGCTTTTTATATGTTATGACAGTAAATTAACTGTTTATATAATTTCATTTGTCTATTTCACCACACGTTCTTCTTACCGAATCACTTTCTCAGTTCGATACTTAAAAGCAATGTCATTATTTATCGTTGACAGAATTTCTAACTGTGATATAGATATGTCGTTGTCACAGACAAACTCAATGTCTTGTTTTATTGACACCTGTGTGTCTGCCTGCCTGTCTCCAAATGACAATATTCAATTGTACAGCTGCTATCACTGACCACATGCAATTTGAACTTAACACCAATCAGGCTATACACCATAAACAAAATGCATTGATTTATGGCCCGAGTTCGGTCTCTGTCACATTATGTAATTACACAGACAGGCAGGTGTGATACTTGAACACATGACATGTTATGATGTCAGTTGATTGCAAAATGTTATTCACAAAAAATGAGCATGTATTTACAAAACCCAACATCTCTATATATACACGCACAATGAGCCGTGACGGCATCTGCAAATGAACCAGCCGTTACACTTGAGTGCACACCCACCCGCTCTGACTGGGTTCGGTATCCCGGCTGCTTCGTTTCTTGGGAAGTAAACCCAAGTACACAATATTGCACTTTTGATTTGCGATTGTACGCTTTTAATTTTGTTTATATGTTTTTATAACCAGCAATGTATATTATATGTCATGAATAAGTGATAATTGTGTTTTAATTATGTTTGATATTTTGGTTGCATGTGACCTTTAAAGAATGGTATTTAAGGTTAAACTTAGTAAAGGTTGCTTCGTGAAAGGAGCCCCTGAGCCGTGAACCTTTGCACAATATGAGGAAGAGGAAGAAACTATTGTATACAAATACTCAGAATACGTACGCTATGCCAGGCCAGATTACCTTTTACGTAACACAGATTATGTACATTCATAAATGAATGAAAAGAAGATATATGTACATGAAATCACAGTGGAATCTGTCAAATCCGGACTCTGTGTAATCCGGCTTTCTTCATAATCCGGACTACTCTCTGAGACCTCGGAAATTGTTCTTAATTCATCATTAAAGCTTGCTTTATAATCCGGACTCTCTCAATTACGGATTACGGACTAAACTAAGATTCCCGACAATCAACTTGCTATTACAAATATGGCAATACAAATACTCAGAATACGTACACTATGCCAGGCCAGAGTACATTTTAAACATGCAACAGAGATTATGTACATTCATAAATGAATGAAAAGAAGATACTTTGTACCTGAAACTATATATATTCCCATTTCATATTAAATTGAACTTAGGATCAGGTGGTTTATTGGGAAAGCTCGTGTTTTCTTCACTGGAACATGTAGGATAATGTTTCGGGATATAATCAACCTATCGCTGCGAATTAACACATGTCGACAGGGGACATCTGCAAATATAACTATAGTGAGCTAGAAAATGTACGTCGGCTTCAACGACGTGACGTTACTTTTAGAACCAGCAATAAATTTCTGATTGTACGGATTTTTATGTAGTTTTGGAATCCAGTATAAAACAGGAATGGACATGTCTTCAGGTTTTAGAGTCAAGCCAAACGTTAACTCATCAGTTGATGACTGTGTTCAGGGGACTGTGCGTGTGTGTGAGTGCGTGTGTGCGTCCGTGCGTGCGTGCGGTCGGTCCTATTTTAAGGGCTGGGTGCTACAACGAATCTGACTCAGCCCTACTCTGAGATCTACTTAAAACAAAACTGATTCATCAGTTGATGTGACTTTCAAAATATTTTATTGCCATAAACTTGACCATGGTCAATCAAGGACATGTGTACAAGTCATGATAATCTTTGGAAACAATGTCAGCATGATGAAAATCTAAACAAGAACTTTTAAAAATCAGAAATTTGTAACTTAGGGTTCTTAAGAAGGCCAACACTTTGTTATTTCCAAGATATGTTTCCAATTTATAAATAACAAAACAATGGCTGAATTGGAAAATGGCTCAAGATTAATGGCGACGCTATCTATAAGACTCGATCCTGGGCTTCCCAGAATGACACAGCGACACCTGGTGTCTGGTATGTATACTGAACATAAGAAATGTCACACTGATAGAGGTTTCTTAAAGCGCACACTTTAATTCACTCTAATTAACAATCAAAACGGAGGACTGAGTTCAAACTTGACAGTTATGGTTAACAGTTATGGTTTTCGGGAATCACATTTAGAGTTCACACAAACAAAATCACCAACAATGGTACCATTAAGATACCCCAAAGTCAGTATCGTGTGTGGCCTATATGGGCATCGATGAAATCGTCTGTACATGGAATTAATTAGCAGGTCGATGAAGGCCATAAGCACTTTGGTCCATACTCTGCGAAATGACTGATCGAGTCCAGCCACAGTTGGTTGGAGTTGGTCCTAAAGGTGTTCTATGGGACTTGAGTGCAGGCTATTGTAGGGTTTTAAATGCCTTGTTATCTTAGGAAGTCCAATGTTGCTCTAGCAGTGTGGGCACGACCGTTGTCTTGCTGGAAGATGTGATTTCTGTAACGTCCAAAATGTGGTACAACGTGGGGTCTTATGACTTTTTAAAAAAAATTAAATTATTTACCATTTTTTTACTTGTTTATAGGTACAGTACATGTGGTCAACGTATGACATTGATAGGTACAATTGTGCTGATATACAAGATTACAAAAGCAATCAATGATATTTCTATAAAGAAGTCTGCAAATGGCATCAGATACCATGATGCCATATGTATGGGTATGATTATGGGTATGTATGTATGTATGTATGTATGTATGTATGTATGTATGTATGTATGTATGTATGTATGTATGTATGTATGTATGTATGTATGTATGTATGTATGTATGTATGTATGTATGTATGTATGTATGTATGTATGTATGTATGTATGTATGTATATATATGTACATGTATGTATGTATGTACATGTGTATGTAGGTACATACGTACGTACGTATGCATATGTATGTACGTATGTGTATGTATGTATGTACGGGTACGTATATGTGTGTATGTATGTAGATATGTATGAATCTACAGGTGGATATGCATTCAATTTGTATCTTTATGAAATAAGGATGACAGACAAAATCAGTCATCCCTCTCCTTATAGTGCTGGAAAAGTGTATGTAGAGATGACCAAAAGGAGAAAAATTTGTCAACACCACAAGAGGAAGAATAAACATATCTTGTAATGTCATAATACTTAATTATCTCCCTTTTCACATGACTGATAAAGGGTACAGTTGAATTTCTGCTGTGTCTAAAGATAACTTGCTTTACAACAAGTATTATGGCATTAATTGGATTATTATTTTTTCCTCTAATTCCAAGTAAGACATTCTGTTTTGTGAAATATAACGGAATATTCAAGTCAGTTAAAAGCCATGACTGAAGGTTTTTCCAGATATCTTTCACAATTTCACAGTCCCAAAATAGATGGGTCTTATGACTTGGTCAATATGGCGAGCAGCCGTCACGTCATTTCCTCATCTTGGACCAAGATTCTGGAACACCACGGTGTCAACTAACTGGTTCAGACCAAGTGCACCCCACACTGTGATGCTTGGACCACCCCATGAGTCTCTTTCAACAATACACTCATTGGAAAACATTTCACCACGCCTTCGCCTTACTCTCACTCTGCCATTGACTGTCGAAACACAATATCGGCTTTCATGGGATAACAGCACAGTTCTACATTGTCGATAAGGCCAATTTCGATGCTGAGTTGCCCAGTGGGTTTTGGCGGTGATAAGCGGTGAGGACAGGACCACGATAGGGTCTCTGACAACAGAGGTTTCTTCCGCGCAAACGTCGACGCACTGTATCGGCACTGATGGGTCTGTTGTTAGTCCCAATAGTCTGGCGTGCTGTTTCCGCACAATCGGTGGCGCACAA